AGCTTAGAGGCCTTGAGAGACAGAGCTTGGCCCCGCAGAGCCAAGGGTCCCTTGCAGCCATGGGCTCTTGGGTGTCYCCAGTGCAGCCTGCTGTGGGGCCAGAGCCCCAAATGATCCTGTTCTGGGGCAGATGGGCCCATCTGCTTCAAGGGCAGAGCAAAAAAACCCAGCTCTCCCCTTTTCCCTGTTGGAGATAGTGTTAGAGGGGCATCTGGCTTGGGAAGGCAGGGAGAGGGCTTGGTTTGGGTGCAAAAGTTCTTCCATGCTCCAAGATCCTTACGATTGATCTCTCAAGGAGCCAATTGCCTTGTGACCTTACCAGAATATTTCTGCGTAAGAATGATCTCGCCCTCTTGCTCCCAGTTCCCCCACTCCAAATTCCCATGGCCCAGGACTCCAACAGCAGCCTCCTCTCCATGATTTTGCTTATCGCTTTATGCCTGCGGTCCCCAGGGTACGTCCTGCTTGGGCCTCAGCAAGTTTCTCTTCTTTCCCTGACCTCCCATAGGTTAATGCAGAGCAAGGAGCACTTGCCAGTGTAAGTATTTGGCCAAATAAAGAGTGGAATTATAGCTGGGGCTCATCAYGATGGCAGAGAAATTCAGCGGCCCTGAAACTAGAAACCCAATCTCACCTCTCTGCAGAGATGCCCAAAAATCATCAGAAACTTCTGAGTGACACGGAAAGGAAGAGCAGCACCTGGTCCCCTCCGGTGCCACAAACCCCTTTAGGCTTTACCCTTCTGCACCAAGCTGTCCTGAGGAGCTACTCTCCATTTTAGGCTGCCAAAGCCAGGCATGAGGTTGCTGCTTTAGGCATGCAAATATTGCCCAGGTAGCACTCACGTCAAGAAATAGTGTTTCTTTGTGGAATCCCTCATTCCTGTGTTTGACAAGAAAAGAAGAAACCAACCACCAAAAGCCTGCTTGGGTATTTTCCTGCAAATTAAAATGAATTAAAAGAACAAACCTAAGTCAGGCTTAAAGTGGAAAAAAAAAACACCCCAGGGCACATAGTCAAGAAGATAATTTTAATATGTCATTTTTAGGCTGCTTTTTAAAGGACTATTATTGGAGGAAATGAAGAGCTACCAAGTAATTGGAGTTGGCAGATAAAAGCTTTCATGTAGCACGAGAACAATACCGAAGGGCAGGAGCAGGGGGAGAAGGCAGAGGGAACACGGGGCTGTGCCAAGGAGGCGCTTGGGGACCRGGCCGAGCCCCGTGTCAACCTCGGAGCCCCCAACCTGCTCAGCGTTGTCCCCACGCAGAGACCACGGGGCCTGTCTGTGAAGAGAATGATTTGATGTCTGCTTAATTTAAGCCCTTCTTGTTTCATGCCCCAGTGTCCGGGTCTTTCTTGGCGTTTGGGGGGATCTCCATCCCTGGGCTGTCTCCGGGGGCGGGAGCTCCTAGGGCAGAGCCAGTGGGCTACGGGAATGTGGGAAAGGCGGGGTGAGGAGACGGCGCTGCAGGCTGAGGTGGCGCTGAGCCGGGCGGCCGMGGGTCCCCTTGGTGGCCCGGGCCGCTGCTGGGGCTGGCGCGGTGCCCCGGGCCCGCTGGCCCCGGCCCCGGCCCCGCCGTGTCCGCGCGGCTGCGGCTGCA